CTCCCGTGGGGTGGGGTGCCATGGCGTGGTGGGGGGCGCGGTGGGGCGTATCCGTAGATTTCGGGCGAGAAACTGTCGTGTGGGGGGTCCGAAGAATTGAGCTCCCGTGGGGTGGGGTGCCGGGGCGTGGTGGGACGCTCCTGTGAAAGGTCCGAAGAACTGAGCTCCGCAGGGTGGGGTGCGAGGGCGTGGTGGGGGGCGCGGTGGGAGGTGTCGGTAGGTTTCGGGCGAGAAACTGTCGTGTGGGGGGACCGAAGAAGTGAGCTCCCGTGGGGTGGGGTGCCGCGGCGTGGTGGGGGGCGCGGTGGGGGGGCGTCGGTAGGTTTAGGGAGAGAAAATGTCGTGTGGGGGGTCCGAAGGACTGAGGTCCAGTGGGGTGAGGTGCTTAGGCGTGGTGGGGTGCGCGGTGGGGGGGGTCGGTAGGTTTCGGGCGAGAAACTGTCGTGTGGGGGGGGGTCCGAAGAACGGAGCTCCCGTGGGGTGGGGTGCCGGGGCGTGGTGGGGGGCGCGGTGGGGGGTATCGGTAGGTTTCGGGAAAGAAATTGTCGTGTGAGGGGTCCGAAGAACTGAGCATTCGCGGGGTGGTGTGCCGGGGCGTGGTGGGGGGCGCGGCGGGGGGTATCGGTAGGTTTCGGGAGAGAAATTGTCGTGTGCGGGGTTCGAAGAACTGAGCTCCCGTGGGGCGGGGTGCCGGGGCGCGGTGGGGGGCGCGGTGGGGGGTGTCGGTAGGTTTCGGGCGAGAAATTGTCGTGTGGGGGGTCCGAAGAATTGAGCTCTGCCGGGGCGATGATGGGAGTATTTCGCAGTGGTGGGCGAGAAATTGTGTTGGTCAATGTTAGTCACTTTCCCTCACACGCCTCTGGGTCGGCGGATTTCCCAGAGGGGGCCCACTGCTGGCGTCAAACCTAGCCATCCCTTCTCCGTGACGATCTTGGTTCAAGAGCTCAAGCGCCTGCTCACACCGGATTTGACGTGGCCGCCCGGACGCCCAGGTCAGTCTGACCCGAGGGAGTGCCACGATGGCCGCTGGCGCTGTGGACGTGTTCGTGTACGCGCTGGCAACCTTCCTCGGGAACGTCGGCGTCGCCGTCACCGGCTTCGGCATGGCCATTGTGTATTTGTTCGTGTGGCAGGTGGCGAGGTTGTGCGGCTGGGAGGCGGACTTCAAGCACGCGGTGTTCATCCAGGCAATCGGCCTGTTCGCGGCTCAGCCGTTGTTGCTGCGCCAGGCCAACATTCGCAAGCACGGTTCCCGCAACCTCCTGAAGCTGTTCGTTCCGGTGACGGTCTTGTCCACGCCTTTGGGCCAGTGGTTGGGGATCTACGTCGACGAGAAGGCAGTTCAGACGGCGGGGGGGATCCTCATCTGCCTTGTCGCCGCCTTCGAGGTGCTCCGCAACCGCAGGCTCATCCTCGAGGCCCTGCGCGGCACCCCGCGCTCGGGCCCGCTCAGGGAGGGCGCGGAGCGAGAGGGCCCCGACGGGGCTGCCGCCGGGGATGGCGAGGGCGAGCCGAGCAGGTCCACCGAGAGGGTGTTCTTCATGATCGGGTCGCAGCGGTCCGGATCGAACTGGCTGCGGACGATGATGGACGAGCGCGAGGACATCGCGGGCCCGCACCCGCCACACATCTTTGACAACTTCCTGCCCATCCTCGACAAGTTCGGCGACCTGGGCCAAGCGACCAACAGGGAGGTCCTCGTCGACCATGTGTTGACTTTCGTCGAACGAAACCAGGTGCCATGGACCGACAGAAAGGGTCGCCTTCTCTCCTTCGACCGGGGTGAGGTGTTCCGCGCGGTGGAGCGGGAGGCGGATACGGAGGCCTTGTCTGGGATGGAGATCCTCATGGTCATATTCAACGAGGTCTACGACACCCATGCGCGAGCCAATTTCAAGAGAACATGGTTGTGTAAGTCCATGGGGATGTCGAGGTACCACGATACGCTGCTGAAGTTCTACGGGAAGGATCGCCTTCGTTACATCTACCTGGTTCGCGACCCGCGCGACGTCGCCATGTCGTTCATGAACACTCCTGTCGGCGATTGCCACTACCACGCGATTGCCACCAAGTGGGGGCGGCTCCAAGAGAGTGCTCTGAAGATCGCCGACGCCTGCCCCGACATGGTGCACGTGCTCCGCTACGAGGATTTGTTGCAGGACAAGCCTCTTGCAATGAAGAGTCTCTTCGCGTTCGTCGGCAAGGAGCAATTCGCGTCCACGAGACAGATAAGCGTCTCGTCCGTGTTGGCGATGCGGGACCTGGAGGCCAAGTGTGAGGGCGCCAGGTCTGGAACCGAGTCGAACAAGGCGGCGGGGTTGTCGAAGCAATTTTGCAACCTGACTCTCGGCGACGACTTCGCGAAGGGCCAGTTTGCGAAGTGGCTCCACGGCACGCCGCCAATGCCCACGTGTGACGTGATCCTCGTCGAGAATGTGACGTGGGACACGATGCAGCGCTTCGGTTACATGCCGAGCATCGTGTCGGTGACGCAGGACCCCGCAGTCTACTCGAAGAGTGAGCTGGAGACGTTTGAGAAGTTGAACAGGGAGGGGATCGAGAAGATGAACGCCGACCTGGAGGAGGAAGACCCCGAGGACGCGCGCCGCCGGAGATGGCAGGCGGCGGTGCTCGCCTTTCCGCCGGAGCTCATCCAGAGGCAGGTGAAGCGGAGGAGGGCGAGCTCTGCGTGCCAGCTGGAGCAGGTGGCGGCCGATGGGCTCGCCATCGAGATCCCGGGGGGCCTGACCCTGCGCTGCGCGGCGCTGTCGCAGGCGGGGAGCCATCCCATCAAGAGGTTCCCGAACCAGGACGCGTTCACCTTGGAGGAGGGCCGCGTCGGCGACGCGCAGCAGTGGCTCGCCATCTACGACGGGCACGGGCCGCTCGGCCGGGAGTGCGCCGCCTTCGCCCGCGACCACCTCTGCGACGCCGTCGCCGACCGCCTGGGGCGCGGCGCGGCCGGCCCGCCGGGTGCCGGGGCCGAGCCGGCCGAGGACGTGGGCGCCGCTCTGAAGGCGGCGCACGTCGCCGTCGATGACATGCTGCGCGAGGACGCGTCCATCAACGACCAGGATTTAGGCCTCCCAGATGGGGTCGAGGTAAATGGGGTTGGAGGATCGCGCCGCATCGCTGGCGATGCGTCGGCGATGCATCGGCGATGCGGCTCGATGTGGGGCCCGGTTTTCCCCGCGCCGACCTCGCCGAAGCATCGCTGCCGTCGCCGATGCATCGCCGCTGCATCGCCGATGCATCGCCGATGCGTCGCCGCTGCATCGGCGATGCATTGGCGATGCGGCGCGATCCTTCGACCCCATCTACTCGGACCCCACGTAGGAGGCCTCCACAGGAGTCCGGGACCACGGCGATCTCCATGTACATCAGCGGAGACCGCTGCTACATCAGCAACGTCGGCGACAGCTGCTGTTTCCGTGGCCACGTGGGCCCGGGCGGCGAGCTCGCCGCGGAGCCGCTCTCGGAGGCCCAGGCCGCCAGCCGACCCGACGAGGCAGACAGGATCAGGAGCTGCGGCGGGGTGATCGCCGCTGCAAGCCAGGTGGACGGCTCCGGGCCCATGGACCCAGGCATCGAGCTCACCGCCGAGCCCATGGATGACTGGGCTGGAGATGGCCCACCACCGCGCGTGTGGGCGCCAGGGTGTCCGCAGCCAGGCTGTGCGTTCACGCGCTCCATCGGCGACCGTGCCGCCAAGCTCCTGGGCGTCGTTGCCGAGCCCGAGCTGAGGAGTCATACGATCACGAGGGCTGACAGGGTCTTCGTCCTCTGCAGCGACGGGATTTCGCAGTACATGACGGCGCGCGAATGTTGCAGCGTGGCCCTGCAGCACGACGACCCAGTTGCCGCGTGCGCGTCATTGGTGGCGGAGGCCCGCAGGCGGTGGCTGAGCCACGGGGGCCGCGTTGACGACATCACAGCACTTGTCTGCCTCGTCAGCCCAGATAGCAAAGGCGAAAAGCAGGACGCCCGTGCAGAGAATGCGATATCGCAGCAGGCGGAGCAGATAAGCTCGCGTTTGGCTGCTTGGGCGATCTCCATGGGGTTCGCGAGCGGATTTCTAGGTGGCCTCTGCGGTATCCGTGGGCCCCCCATAATCATTTTCTTCCTTCACATGGTGCTCCCGAAGGCCATCCAGAAGGCTAACGGAGCTGCGATTACCGTGGTCAACGTGTCGATGCGCATGTTGGGATACGCAGTGGATGTTGCGACAGGCAATGGCACGGCCGTGGTGGAAGATTGGCCGCTCTACGCTTCCGTGGTGCTGATTTCGCCGGTGGGTGTCGCCATTGGTGGGCGACTCTTCGATCGCACGAAAGACTCCCAGGCGAATATCAAAACCATACTTGCGATGCTGCTGGTGTTGTGCGGCATCAGTCTGCTCATCACTGCCTTTGAATGAGCTGACGAGGCTCCCCAGCCACACCAGGCTCAAATTACTATTGCATGTCATTCTCGGTTCACACCGTTTCTTTTTTCATCTCGGCAGCTTGCCGTGCGCCCTCGTGCCATGGGCGTCCTTTCGCTCGGCTCGCCGTATTTGGTGTCTGCTGTCTTGGGCCCAGCCCCGTTTTTCGGCGCTGCGCATCGCCGTTTTTCGCCGCTGCAGCGGTGCAGCATTTTCTGCATCAGCGTTCCCCATTATAAAGCTGCAGCGGTACACGGGGACGCCTCGCCGCGGTGCATCAGTTGCCCCACATATTGGAACAGCTGCATCGGTGCACGGACGCCGTCTATTATTCTATTACAGGTTACAGCATGTCAGTTATACATGCTCAAGTTTGCCTCGCAATTGGCGCATCGATGTCGGAACATGCCCTTCCCTCTTCCTTGGAGGTCAAAAGAACGAGCTGGGATCTGGAAGAGGTAAAACGTGAAGGAGAAGAAGACGATGATTGCGCAGACCAGCGCATATACGAAGCGTCTGGCATGTCCCCCTGTCAAGTAGCTCTGGAGGACTCGATCCACCACGCTATAGAGCACAA